ATGGTGATTGTGATAATGACATGATGGTACATTTCATGCAGTTTGATGACTGATTTATGAGATATTGATGATCGATTATGGGCTATGATGCTCAGGCACAAGGATGAGATCCATCCCTTCCAAGTCACGTGATTACCCATGTTTCTTTAGCACATATGTGTGCGTTGATCTTTGGACACCTAGGAGGTGTCGGGAACCTGGGATGTGTCGCTGGAGATTAAGTGAGTGTTATCATGGACATTCTAGACTCAGGTAGAGGCATTCCTACATATACTATTTGATGTATTTCATACTCATACGTATATTTGGTGCCTTAATTGTATTCTTGATAAATTTACTAGAATGTATGCTTGGAAACTGATTCTTGACTGACCACCTAAGTATTGATGTTAATTGTTTCTTGGTTGATCCTCATTTATTATATATTATTATAAATTGAGCTGGTTATGGAAGTGCATATTCTTTTATCTAAACCTCGCTATTCTTCATCGTAATTAGATTTGATACTTACTGAGTACGCATTGATTTTGTACTCATACTACACTTCTACGTTTGTTTTATAGACTTGTGTTAGTCCCAGCGGCATTCAAGATGGTGCTTAGTAGCTTGGCTTTCGAGACTTCATTGTGAGCTATTGTGCTAACTCGAAGTGCATGTAGTGCCCTTCTTATCTATCCTACCATTGTTTTGTTTTAGGAAGTACTTTTACGTTGGGACTTGGTTGTAATCCATTTAGTAGCTCATGACTATGTACTGCTGGGTTTTGGGAGATGGATGTTGTATTTATGTATTTGGTTGTTCATGTTAGATTTCTATCTTATGCTTTGTCTATATTAGAATAGCCGATTAACCATTATATATATTTCTTATATTGTTTATTAATGTTGGTTTTCCTATCTCCTTAGTAAGGTGCCATCATGACTCTGGTGGGATTTTTGGTCCTGACAAAATTGGTATTAGAACTATAGGTTCATAGGTTCTACGAGTCATGCGAATGTCTAATATAATCTTGCGGATCGGTATGAAGACATCTACAATTATCTTCGAGAGGGTATGGGACATATAAGGAACTTTTCTTTCTTTCTTTATTGTGTGGCCTTGTTTCATCCTAAAGTTCGATTGTTTACTCTTCTATTCTCTTATAGATATTGAGGACCCGTTCTTCTACATATGGAGAGCAAGATCCAGCACCTCTGGTTGTAGACGCTACTCGAGATAGAGGTTATGGTAGAGGTAGGGCTGGAGCTCAGGGCAAGGCATGCATAACAACACCTCGAGCTGGAGCACTCACGGCTACTCATACTCATGATAGAGCCCCTTCTAAGGAGCCCCCTATAGCTCTAGTGGTGGACAAAGTTCCAAATAAAGTTGTTCCACTAGCTCCAACTCAGGTTCCTGAGGGTTGTATTGCCACTATAGTGCTTTAGGACACCATGGTCAAGATTTTAAGTTACTTTGAGGGTTTGTCTTAGGCAGAGATGATTCATGTGATTCCATCTACTTCTTAGGCTGGAGAGGGAGCACATACCACAGATATTCACACTATAGAATAGGCCACCACTGTGTTTTGGATGCCAGAGTTCAGCCACTCCAGCAGTTAGGGTTAGTTCAACCTATTATAGTTAGGCCACAATTTAGGCCTCCTATGTCGATGGATAAGTAAAAGAGGATGGCTCAGTTTCAGAAGTTAGATCCTCCATGTTTTGATGGTGATCCCACAACGAATGCTTGGGGCTTCAGGATAGATGCCATGGAGTCCAATGGAGTTGATTTCACTACTTTTCAGTTAAGAGAGCCAACCGATATATGGTGATAGGCTTAAAAGCAGAGTAGGCCCGTAGGGTCATTTTCTCTCACTTGGACTCAATTTTATACTCTCTTGCTGGAGAAGTTCATTCGCCCCACTAGGAGAGATGAGTTTCGTAGTTAGTTTGAGCACCTACAGTATGATGGTATAATAGTTACTCACTATGAGATGAGGTTTGCGGAGTTGTCCCGTTATGCGACTTTCCTGATTCCCACTGAGACTGAGAAGGTTAGGGTGTTCATTGAGGGGCTTAACTTTTGAATTAAGCTTAATTTTACTAAAGATATAGAGATAAGGACTACTTTTCTATCAGGCAATAGAGATAGCACGAAGAATTTAGCACATCCTTTGTCAGGGGAGAGAGGAGATAAAAGATATGAGGCCTCATTATTCAGGAGAATTCAGTGGTACCTCATTTGGAGGAAGGGGACATCTGGGTAGTGGCCATCCTGGTCATCTAGTTCCTTGGAAATTTAGTTGTCTTATGGTGCTCCAGTCAGTCATAGTTCTCACTATAACCTCTCGGGGTAGGAATCCTACAATGGACGACCTTATTATGGATCATACCGTAATTATTCTAGTCATCAAGTCCGCCATCAGCCCTAACATCCATGCCAACAGAAAGGCTGCTTTGAGTATGGAAATTTGAGGTATATGAGGATGGATTGTCCCCAATTTCAGAGTAGTGTATCTCAACAGAGTACTCAAGCTATGGTTACAGACCATGTTGCTTGACCACATGCCCAGCCAGCTAGAGGTGGAGGTTAGCCAGCTAGAGGTCGCCCTAGAGAAGGAGGCCAGGTTCGATTCTATGCATTTTCTGTCAGAACTAAGGTAGTAATGTTTGGTGCAATCATTATAGATATTCTTCTTGTTTGTCATAATATGTCATCTTTCTTTGCATCTCATTTGGATATGCGTTGTGATTCTTTGGATATCTCTATTTACATTTCTAATACTATTGAAGATTTTATCATGATAGATTAGGTTTACTAGTCTTGTGAGTTCACTATTAATAGGTATGACACAACGGTTGACCATTTGTCATTGGATATGGTAGACTTTGAGGTGATTCTTGGCATGGATTGGTTATTCCGTATCATGCTATCTTGAATTGTCGAGCCAGGACTATGACTTTAGTTATCCCAAGGTTGCCTAGATTAGAGTGTAGATGGTCACTTGATCATTCTACGAGTAGGGTGATTTCATTCCTTATGGCTAAGTGTATGGTTGAGACGGGGTTTTAAGAATATTTGGCCTTTATTCGAGATTCTAATGCGGAGGTTCCTTCCGTGGCTTCAGTACCAGTAGTGAGAGAGTTCCCGAAGGTATTTTCTATTGATCTAGCTGGTATGCCACAAGATAGGCCTATTGACTTTGGTATTGACCTAGTTCTGGGCACCCAACTTATATATATTCCACCATACCACATGGATCTAGCTAAACTAAAAGAGTTGAAGGAGCAGTTACAAGATTTTCTTGATAAGGGATTCATTAGGACGAGTGTTTCTTCTTGGGGCGTGCCAATTTTATTTTTGAAGTAGAAGATGGAACTTTGAGGATGTGTATTGATTATAAACGGTTGAACAAGGTCACCATCAATAATAAGTATTTTTCATCGTATTGATAATTTGTTTGATCAACTTCAAGGTGCTAGGGTTTTCTCTAAGATAACTTGAGGTTGGAATATAATCAGGTGAATATTAGGGCTTCAGACATCCCTAAGATGACTTTTAGTACTCATTATGGTCATTATGAGTTTTTGGTGATTGCATTTGGGTGGACTAATGCTACATAAACATTCATAAATTTGATGAAATGGGTTTTCAAGGCTTATTTGGACTCTTTTGTGATAGTGCTTATTTATGACATCTTGATTTACACTCACAGTAGAGAGGAGGAGGAGCAGCATTTGAATATTGTGCTTCAGACCCTGAAGGAAAAGAAGCTTTATGCTGAGTTTTCTAAGTGTGATTTTCGGTTGGACGCAATTGTACTCTCGGGTCACATGATTTTTGGTGATGGTATTAAGGTTGATCCCAAATATATTGAAGTGGTTTAGAATTGGCCAAAACCTACTATAGCTACATACTTTAGGAGTTTCTTGGGATTGGCAGTCTACTATCATCATTTTATTGAGAGGTTTTTATCCCGCTGGAATTTTGGTTTTTATGATCAACAAAATTGTCTTAGACCTTGGGTCTACTGGTGGTTCCTAAAAATGTCATAGTCGTATGAAGAATGGGATTCCCTTTTAGCGGATATGCATTGCTGTGTATACTGTGCTGGGAGCCACGAGATGATGTCAAGAAATATTAGCATAGTCTTATGGGTCGACTTTGGTCCAAGACTACTTATGGAAGTAAATTCTACTTAGGAGATCGAAGAAAATCTTTTACATTCATTATTTGCTAGGATTACGAGATTTGGTGATCACTCTTCCACTCCTAGATCTCTACTATATATATGGTACGAGTTCATTTTTGCAAGGTTGCGCGCCTTCATACATATATGAGAAATCCTTCTTTTGAGCAGCAACTTGGTGAGAATCACGAACAAGAAAATTATAGATCCCAGTTTTCAGAGATTCAAGTTTAGTTCATTTTATCTTGATCTTGTAGTAGGCATTTTGAGTTATAATCTTAATTGTACTGTAAGTTATTGGTAAGAGTTCTTGAGTGACAATATTCTGTTCTAGAGTAAAAAATTAGTTTGGAGCGTGTAGCTACAATCATTTTGATTGTATGCTAATGAGATAGTCTCTTAGGTTATAAAAGAGTTCTGTAACCTGAAACAACTCGTTATTTTGTAGTCAAGTTTGTGAGAAAATTCAGAGTTGTATCTTGATTCTTACTTCCTTGAGCAAGGATGTTTTCCATGTAAAATTCATATCTTCTTTATTTTCTACAATTGTTAGTTACGAGAACTGTAAGAACCTTTTAAAGAATCAGGTTCTGAGGAAAACCAAAATTCTGGGTAGAAATTTTAATTAGTCGATAAACTATTCACCCCCCTCTAGTGTATAAGTGGTGCATAATTCTAATAGTTGGTATCAGAGCAGGCTTTCAGTAATAAAGCTTACACCTTTGAGAAAATTATGAGATGAGTGCACCACCTGAGATGAAGAAAGGTTCAGTCAACCACGTGTACACCTTTGTTCAATAGAAAGTACTACAGTTGGTGGAAGGCTATGATGGAGAAATTATTTACTATTGAAGATTATGAACTATGGAATATCATTCTAGATGGACCAAACATTTCCATAAAGCTTGATTCCAAAGGAAGGGAAGTTCCCAAGGAAAGAAGTGAGTTTAATGATATCGATCGGAATCTCATGGAGAAAAATTCCAGAGCCAAAAAGGACACCCTGCAAATTGTACATAAAGGCACATCACAAATGAAGCAATCCAGGATTGATATGCTATTGAGAAACTATGAACTGTTCATCATGAAATATTCGAAACCAATCCAGGATATGGTCACCAGGTTCACAGTCATCACAAACGAGTTGAGATCACTTGGGAAGTCCTTCATATCAGGAATTGGTAAGAAACATCCTGAGAATACTTCCTATCAGAAAGCAAAGTTACTGCAATCCAAGGAGAAAAAGAATTAAGTACAACCACCATGGATGAGTTGGTTGGAAATCTGAGAACTTATGAGATGAGGAAATGAAGTTGAAGAAATATGACACCAAGAGGGATAAAGGGCTGGCCCTCAAGATAACTGAAGATGCTTATTCAGATAATGAAAAAGAAATTGACATGAGTCTGCTAGCCAGACAATTCAAGAAGTTTTTGAGAAACACAAAAGGAACCGAAAAAAAGAAAAATCCTAATAAATCAAAAGACTTAGATAGGATCAGCTTCAATGGCTGGTATAAATGTGGGAAATTTGATCACATAATCAAGGATTATACACAATGGAAAATTGAGTGGGAGTGTTAATCATCTCAAGAAACAAAGGAAGGACCTCAGGAAGGACTGAGGTCCAGGAACTGGCTATATAAGAGGCCATGAGGCAAGATTTCTTGGCTGCATATGAGGACAACAGTGATGAAAGTCAAGATGAAGATGTAGAGACGGATGAGCCATTCTATTAGTTCGCCCTGACTGAAGGAGACAATCAGCAAATCTAGCAAGTTGGAGATCCAATAAATTGTCTGCCACCATTCATTGGACAATACTTTGGCTGGTGGAAGGATAAAATGGAAAGATTTTTGCAAGCTATGGACTTTGATCTATGGATGATTATGACTCAGGGTCCTTTTTTGCCAACAAAGAATGTTGATAAAGGAGAAAAAGTTGTCAAAGCTAAAAAGGAGTTCAATGCTGATGAAAAGATAATGCTTGAGAAATATTCCAGAGCTAAGTTGATTCTGTACAATGTTCTCGGTCTTGAGGAGATAGATGGGATCTCTGCATGCAACATGGCTAATGAAATCTTGAAAAGGTTGCCTGGAATGCATGAAGAAGCTCGATCTTATATGGCTCTAATGGTCTTAATAAATGCCGACTCTGGAAAGGTAAACAATGAGGATATTGTATCTATGATGGTCATGAGTGACTCTGAATTTAAAGCAGGAAACGAGGAGGTAGATTTCTCTGACCTTAAAGATAATCATCACTTTCTTCCTAAGAAAAATTTGTCTGCCATGGTGCTCTAATTAATTAATTAGATTGAAAATTTGAGTGCTAAAAAAGAAGAATTATTCAATGATTTTTCAACTACTAAGTTTGAATGACATAATCTTGATTCATCAAGTCTGAACTTGAAAAAGAAAAATATGATTTCAAGAAACAAGTCTCTATTTTAAAACCTGAAATTGAAGCACCCGAATTTGAAAATGGGAAGTTAAAGGAAGCACAATACAAAGGGAAATGAGAGATTAGTGAGATTCAAGAGTCTCTTGAAAGGGAGTTAAAACATACCAAGAAAACCTTGTATAGCCAAGTTGAACAAAATAAAACAATTCAAGAGGACATGAACAAGGTTAAATATGAACTAACTAGAACCTCCAAATTGAACGGGTCTTTAGAGGCAGAAACAAAATAGACACATGTCTCAGTGTGGTCGATGATGATCCTTTGTTGTGGCATAGACGACTAGGTCATGCGAGCCTTAGACAACTAAATAAACTAGACTCAAAAGACCTAATCGTAGGATTGCCAAAAATCAATTTTAAAAATGACAAAGTGTGTAATGCATGTGTTAGTGGCAATGCATTTTAGGTCGTCCTTTAAATCTAAAACAGTAGTCGGTGCCTCTAGACCTTTAGAATTGTTCCATATGGACCTGCATGGTTAAGTCATTTATAGAGGTGGCAAAAGATACAATCTGGTAATAGTAGATGATTACTCCAGGTATACCTGGACTCTGTTCCTTTCTAGTTAAGATGAAAACTTTCGCGTTTTCAACAATTTTCTAAGAACCATCCAAAAGACACTAGGTCTTCAACTTGTCAGCATCAAATATGAAAATGGTTAAGAATTTGAAAATGCTAAGTTTGCTTAATTTTGTAGCATTCATGGCATAGATCATAACTTCTCAGCCCCAAAAACTTCACAACAAAATAAAGTAATAGAAAAAAAGAATGGGGTCCTAGAAGACATGGGGAGAACCATATTGATCTCCAATGGTCTTCCAAAAAGCTCTTGGGAAGAAGCTGTTAACTCTTCTTATTACCAACTAAATAGATGCATGGTTAGATCCCTTATTAGAGAAAACTCTCTATGACTTACTTAAAGGAAGAAAACCCAATGTATCACATCTTAGAGCCTTTGGTTGTAAATGTTATGTTCATAGTAATAGAAAGAAAGCTCTAGGAAAATTTGATGCTAGAAGATGTGAGTATTATTAGGTTATTCTCCACGTAGTAAGGCATATAATGTTTTTAATAAAGCAACATTGTGTCACGACCCCAATTTCTCTCCGTGTGATTTTGTGACGGCACCTAATATCTAAGATTAGTTAAGCCTAATAATTATTAAATAATTAGAAGAATTCAACAATCAAATGAAAAATACGAGATAAAAATCTTATACAAATTACAATTCCAAAAACTGGTAGTACAAGTCATATGCTCTACTGAGTTTGCTAGAAAATTCCTAAATACAACTGTTCGGATGGAATTAAACAGTATAATAAAAATATCATACGGTGACTCCGAGGCCTGCGAACGCAATGGCAGGTTTACCTTGAGTCTCTACAGCTCAACCAGCCATCTAATAATCAACAACAACCGAAGCACCTGGATCTGCACAAAAATGTGCTGAACTATAGTATGAGTACACCACAGCGGTACCCAGTAAGTATCAAGACTAACCTCGGTGGAGTAGTGATGAGGGACAGTCAAGACACCTACTAGATTAAACAACCTAAACAAGTGTGTAGATGAACGAATAGAGAAATAATATTAATATAAAGCTAAGCAGGATAAGGAATACAAGACAATACTTGCAATGATACATTAGTAACAACAATATTCAACGGGAAGCAGTCAGGTAATAATGTTGTAGAGTAACTAATCACAATCTAAGTCCGGGGAAATCAAATAAATGGAAAACCAACAATAACTCAATGAGAACAACCGCTTTCACACCAAATCTTTTCAAGCATTTCCACGAGGTACCAAACCTCATAATCACAGCTCACGAGCCCCAATTCATTAACTCTAACCACTTGGCATCTTGTGCCCACATTACAACTCATAAACGCATGGATGACTCACGTTCCAATAGAACAGTCCTCACACAGAAGGCAAGAAGATAAGAGTACGTATAATGGTTAATGTCGTCAGGATTCACCTTTTAAAATCGATAAGGGTGATTTAACTGCGTGTATGCTTATGCAAGTGTTCTACCATAATTGCAGTCAACAAATAAGAGTAGAGTCAATGAATTGAACATAAACAATGATCACTACGAAATGTATGGTGTAACAGAAGCAACAATGAAGTTTGAAGCAGCGACCAACACAATAAGATTAGGTATATAAAGCTGAGCAAATTGTGCAAAATGGAGAAAAACAATTAATAGTATGCTAAGGAAAGCAACAATCAAAGACAAGTGCACAGAAAAAGGAGAAATGACAACAAGAGCACTCCCGAAGTACTGCCTCGTAGTCTCAAATAGTAAATGAGTCACAACTTTTCTTATATCACCGCGGGAGCCTTTATATTTAGTTATTAAAAATTATTTTCCCAAAATTGCATCCCGCATTTTAGTCCACCTTATCACACTGTATGGTTTCTAGTAGTTCCCCTACTAGCCATGCGTTTCAAGCCCACCTTATCTCACCGCATGCGTTTTAACACCTATACCGTATACCACCGTATATGTATCAATAATAACAGCACGATAGAAACCTCATGCAACACAATAACAACCGCACGACAGAAAACTCGTGCAAATACAATAACAACCACACGGCAAAAACCTCGTGCAACACAATAACAACCGGATGACAGAAACCTCGTGCAAACACATAACAATTTTCTCAACAAAACACGTATGCCAAAAATATAACAACTCAAATAAATGACTTTTACCATCTATGCCCACATGCCACAACATTTCCTCAAAACAGTTTCAATATCCCAACCATGTATAGCCCTTAGCCCAATCAACAAGGAATACAACAACAACAACAACAACAACAATAATAACACGAGAATACGACAAGTAAATCAATGCAAGAACTTCAAGACACAAAGAAACAGAAGAATGAACTCACAGAGAAAAACATAACAAGGAAATAATAGTCTCAACAAGAATAGTTCAACAAGGGAGAGGTTATGTGTAACAATGATTCCACGAAAGTGCAATTCGACAACAAAAGAGATAGCATAAATCAATGATCCCAAATAAGAATACGTCAACCATGAAAGTGGTAACAAACTTCCATTAAGGCTAAGCATTTACGGGAGAGATAATAATGATTTCAATTAAGGTTTAAGCAATTACGGAAAGATAACAATGATTTCAATTAAGCTTAAGCAATTACGGAAAGATAGCATGACGATAAAAGAGGCAACAACTTTAATTAAGGCACATAAGAGTTTAATCAACAGTAAGGGTATAACATGAAGCAATTAATTCCAATTAAGACACGTAAGGGTGAATTTAGTAAATGGAGAATTTAACATGATAAAACAACTTCATATTTAATGGACATAAGAACCTAAGAGCAATTAATGGTCAAGTTTCCACAAATAAGTCAGAGCACATACTTGTCACCTCGCGTACTCGGCCTTCACATGACACAATTAGCACGAAAGACTCGAATCCTAAGGGGTAGTTTCCCCACACAATGGTAGGCAAGATACTTATCTCAAAGAAGGTAGACCGTTACTCTAAAATGATCTTCTCGAGTGAAACACACTCTGAACAGCTCAAATCTAACCAAAATAACTTCAATGCATAAATAAAACTCATAAAAAATAATTCCAGATAATAAAGCTTCAAACTTTAACAAGAACTAAAAGTCAACCCAAAAGTCAAACCCCGATCCCACACCTCGGAACCCAATCAAAATTATAAAAATCCGAACACCCATTTGATAACGAGTTCAACCATACCAAAATGATCAATTTCCGACATCAATTCGTCCTTCAAA